TACGCCACCCACGGCTCTGGACCGGGTACGTTGGGAGTCCTCGATGAGAGTCGGAGCGTGAGACGAACGCTAGAGGTTGATCGTGCTCGAACGGACGGACCGAGGATGATTGGTGGAAAAAGGGAGGTGGTGGTGGTGGTGGCGGTGGTGGTGGGCAGCGATGAAGGCGAGGATGGGGTTGGGGATGGCAAAGGCGGGCGCGAGGCTCAGGGATTCGGTATGACTAGGGCGAGCGGAGGAGGCGAATCTCTCTTTCTTGACAGGCCGGACCTTCCGTTCGAGCATGAGAAGAGGGAGGGCATCGCGGCCATGCAACCAATCTATTCACCACCCAAATGCACACTCGCAACTCTCTGCGTCGGCGCAAACAAAATGCCAAGGGCCCGCAAGAAGAACTGCGCGCAACTTTCACCTTTTTCGCCTCTTCTTTTTTCTTTTTTTTTGGGCTCACGGCAGGCAGTCAGGCAGTGATGGAAATTGCCGGTTGGGTGGGATTGCGGGTGGCCATCTAAAGTCGACGCGGCGCTGCAACGCGCGCGGATTAGCAAGCAAGCCATGCAGCACACCATCCTCCTCCGGCCTGCTAGGGTCAGCACAGTTTCGCCGCTCGCTTCTTCCCATCCGCGGGCCCAGTCTGTCCCCTCGCAGTTGCTTTTGAGCCTAGCAGACTGACACGAACCCGAGTCTATGTGGCTCCAATCGAAGCTCGCCCCACTCTCCTGGACAAAGGTCGGTGTTTTGCCAGCGAGGATTGATTGTTGGCGCAGGAATCGGCGCAACGCGGGTGTCGGCCACGTTCAGGGTCCACGGCAACAATGGCCCAGTTGAACCGCGTCGACTTTAGATCCCGCGCAGTCGGTCCGGTTCTGGCCTGAGTCGCCCAGCTCGACGGCGAGAAAATCGGCCTTGTGGGCAAGAAGAAGACCGCCTCGTTCGGGCTCCAGAGTCTCTGGGGGAAGCGTGCCTTCGAGGCCGTGAAAAAAAGGCAGAGCAAAGGCGGCTTTGACCAGGGCCGGAGTGACAGCAG